CTTTGGCTATTAATCTTTAGCTAAATGCTTTGTGACAAGGTGCATCAAATTGCGTCGATTATAATTCCGAAAATACGTTTGCTAACCTGGAAGCTCCACAATTCCAATAAAACTATACGTTTTCAAGGTTAGATAAAATTCTTTTTTTTTTATTATTCTTTTATTTCCCTGGAAACACTCTGCATCACACGAGTCACGCAATTTGCAGCTTGATCCTACTGCGTTGTAAAAACAAGACGACAAGTATTAACTGGAGGATGATGGCGCCCACTAGAGCCGCGGCTGAAATATTGATCCACCACTGCATCATATGTTGCCTTCAGAGTCTCGTTAACAAACAAATTCTTGTGCAATTTCAATTGTATTTGTTATTTATTGGAAAAAAAACATGTTTCCCAAAGCATTTTCAAATTTAGCAGAATATTGACTTAGTTTTGTGCATATTTGCAATGGAAACACAGCTACAGATAGCATGCTAACTATTGGTGCAATTAAGACTCCTAGAAAGGTTTCTTAGGTTGAAATATTGACAATCTGATACCTTTTCTCTGTTTAGTAATAGAGATCCTGCAAATTGACATAATGCAAGTCAGAGTGGGATTTCTAATTAGCTCAATTCTTTAATGGACATTTGCACCAAATGGTTGAAAGTGGATGAAATTATTAATCCAACACAGAATATGTCCGACCCACAGACCTCTTAGATAAAGGCTAATATCCAGTCCCAGTTTTTAGTTATTTCTTTAAAAACTCAGTTTAAATATGACCTTTATAAGCCTGTCATTGATGTTTTGATGCTGCCTTCATGATTGGAACTTTCTGTTCAGCTCTTCTGAGTAATCCAGGCTAACTTTCCCAGGGCTTTCTGCTCCAGGGCCCTCAGTCTGGATCCTTATGTTGTATTTTTTCTGGCTCAAGGCCTCTGAGCGCTGTTACCCCAGCTGAGCTCGCTCCTGTTTATCTTGTACATTTCCACATGTGGTTTTAGTCATGTTTCCAACACCTTGTAGAGCTTTTAGATATGCAATGCTCCTCTTAGCTTCTTTCCATTCACTTATTATTAGAGCATGAGGTTGTTTTTATGTGCAACTGAGAGAATTTAGTTCATGATTAATGGGAAATTAGCTCTTTAACTTGCAGTGATTTGTCTGTTCAGGTTTATTTCTCTTTTATTAGTGAAATTAGTAGATTTGCTTTCATTATGTCAGATAACTGCAGTTGTGTTGCAACTTATTCCCAACTGCATCTTTGGGAATTAATCTTTTCTGCAGGCTGTTAAGCATCTGGTGTCTGCTATTACCGTGACTTTGTGGTTGTGATCTCTGGCAGCAGAAAATGTATTGTGACAGCTTGTCCACTCTAATATTTGGCTCTCTGTGTGTGCAGTGTTGTCTCGGTTCACTGAAGATGGAGAATAAACACAGTTTCTGCTCACACAAACACCATTATGTGTATTTGAATGTTTGGAGAGGCTGTATGTGATGCAGTCTGTGGGAATACCACTGTGTATTTTCTAAAGTAACTTGTATCCAGTTATGTTGTTTGCTTGGGAATCATCATCCAACTAAAGCACAGGCTGAGGGTTCACTACACTCTGTGACCACGGATGGAGGTTGATGAGATATCGTCGTGGAGATAAATGCAACTGTAAACAGAGCTGACAGAGCGAAGATTGCTCACTGCATTCCAGCCACGGCCCCCGCCGACGTTATCTCAACTTTGCTCAACTCCTCACTTTGCACTCTGCATGTACGTATAAAAATGTCCAGATTAATGCTGCAGAGGGGCTTTTGAGCGTTGCTGTAAATGTTTCCTTGCCAAGCGGAGAGGAATCCATAGAAAAGGAACTTTCTTATCTGTGGAGGAGAAAGTATTTCCATAAGCACCAGTATTATGCAAGTGTGTATGGATTAGATGGGTTAAAGAAACACTTGCAGGAATCTCTAAAACTCCATATCCAGAATGGATTGAAATAACTTTTAATGATCCACTCATGTCAAAGCTTAAATAAGGGCTAAAAAGCTTGATTTTATTGGTAAAGCTTTATTTTCCAAGAAGTGAGTGGGATACATTGCAAAGTGTAGATGCAACTTGATAAATACACACTTTCTTAACAAATCAAAACTAAAACCTAAAAATAGCAAAATTGGGACAATCAAAGAAGACAGAGAAAACCATAAAGAGTAGAAATATTCATAAACGGCAACAGAAAGAGGAATTAAGGTAAATTTTATTACATTCTTTTCTATACGTCAACAAACTCTGGTCATAAAGGTTTAATATATTTGACCCATTAACAATAGGTGAACTGAGAATGTTCTTTATTAGATTTCTTTGGGAATGTCGATATTATTCAGATTTCCCAAAGAGATAGAAGAACATTTAAATGGGAATTAACATTTAGGATTCTAGGTGCAGCTTTGTTAAACTCAACCCAGAGAATCATCTTCTGGCATTCCCAGACAAAAATAAAACTGCCTCTCCTGCCCCATTATTGCTACGTTTACATGGGCACAGTTAATCGGTCTAAAGGCCCGACCAGATCAAAAAGGTTTCATGTAAACATGAATTCAGTCTGATTGGAATAAGATTTCCTCACAAAAGAAATAAATGATTTTTGCAGATCGTCGTTCCGATTGGTGTCCAGGTTCACAGCCATTTGAATCTTTGGAGTAAAATAATCTCCACTGCACAAGTGTGCAACGTCAGTGTTGCATTTTTTCTCCAAATGTTCCAACGCTCGGTGCACTTTTATCTAAACAGATTTAGAATTTCCGATTAATCATGGTTTACACTGGATTGGGAAGATTTGGCGCACGTAACTGTAGCTACGGTCTCCAACAGTCAGCTGTACCTGCACCAAAATCTTTCTTTTATTTAGGTGTTATAAAAAGAAACACTTTAAACATTTCCAGATAAACTCTCTGCATTTAAAGGAGCAAATTTCCACTGAGATTCACATCCATCTATCCAAACCCGCTTTAAATTTAAAAAGTTGTCAGTGATATCTTTATATAATTTACTCACTACTTACTGCACTTTTAATCAAACTATTTTCATGAGCCTTGGAAAAAAGAATATTAAATATTTGGTCAATAATATCTGTTTTAGTTATTATATTCTGTTGGAAATAGTTCCACTATTGAAGATGTCTGAAAACGTCTGAGTTATTAAGTTAATAATCTGTCTTTAAACTTTCAAAACTTTTCATGTTTCCATTCTGCAAAGAAAAGCTTGCATTTGACAACGGTTTGATTCTTAAAATGTTTACAGATTTTGGCAAAATTTGTAGTCTTCAGCATAATGGTAGCCACCATTAGCCTTAAATCTCCAAACAGCTATTTATTTATTTATTTGTCTCATCTAACATGACAATATTCTGCAGATAGCATTTGGCCCATCCTTGTGGAGATCTGCAGGGGATTTAATCTTGATTATAGAAATGTAAATTTCCTGCACACTTCAGTTTGCTGTGTGTTAACGGTGCTTTGCAGTGCTTTATAATCTAAGCCAATCACCTTTCAACTCCAAATGAAAAGTGACCCTAGCAGTCATATTACACCGATACATTGGCGGTCTGTTATTTTGTGCCACTATTATGTTTTTTTTTTCTTGCATTGGCATCGGCCGAGGCCCCCTCCTTTTCCTATCACTTGATATTTTCAATAGTTAATGAATGTTTCTATTTTGTTTAAATTGAGAATTGTTTAACGCTTGTTGTCACTATTACCATGTAGATCAGGGAAGAAAAAAGCAATATATGCTTTATTAATTAGCAGCACATAGCAGGGATCAGTTTGACTGATGTGAAAATAATCTGTGGTCCTTAGAAATCTGTGTAGGTTGATCTCTGCCTGTGTTTTAACTGATGATTGAAATTTGCATATCTTTCAAAATGGCCCAAAATTATTTTCAACTATTCCAAACCTACGGGTCTCCTTCAGAGATTTTCTCTGCATTTCTTTTATCGTTCCCATTGATTGCGGTTTTGTTTAGTTGAAGAAATCTTTTTTTATTTTGTTTTATTTTATGCTGCTTATAAACTATCTGCCCAAACCAATCATGATCCGCTGACCAGAAGTATTACTGAACATAAAGTTCTAAAACCTCCAGCAACACCTGTTTAAGGCTTAATGTATGAAAGTGTTTCACCCTGTATGTTAAATTCGGACCTTTTCTGGATTAGAGAAAATTCACAACTAGTTATTAAACTGGTATTTTTTTGGAGGCTTTTAGCAAGCTTTTTTGATTCTGGCTCGATATTTTTTTTATTGGTTTTCTAAAACTTTTCATCGGTTTAAAAAAATCTGTTGTGGATAAATGTTTTTGATCATTGTCCCTTTGGAACATTAAACTGCATCATTGCTTTTTCTTCAGTCAATTTTTATGATTAAACCTGAGGCAGTGAAATGGCCCCACAGCATGATGCTTCCACCATTATGCGTATGTATACAAGCGAACTTCTTGCCCCACTTTTATCAGACAAACGCCTTTAAACTCAGTGCTTCCAGAACAAAAACAAGCAGTTGCATTTAGTTCTTGTTTCATGGAAAACAAGAACAAGGTGGAGGGTCCTTGTCTCAAGGGGAGGAGTTCAAGTATCTCGGGGAGGGACGGATGGAGCGTGAGATTGAGATCGGCAGTAATGCGGTCTCTGTATCAGACTGTCGTGGTGAAGAGGGAGCTAAATTGGGGGGCAAAGCTCTCGATTTACTGATCGATCTATGCTCCCATCCTCACCTATGGTCATGAGATCTGGGTAATGGCCGAAGGGACAAGATCTCAAATACAAGCGGCCAAAATGAGTTTCCTTTGCAGGGTGGCTGGGCACACCCTTGCAGATTGGGTGAGGAGCTCGGTTACCCGGGAGGAGATACGAGTAGAGTCTTTGCTCCTCCATGTCTAAAGGAGCCAGCTGAGGTGGCTCGGGCATCTGTTTCGGATGCCTTCTGGTCGCCACCCTCGGCTGGTGTTCCAGGCATGTCCCACTGGGAGGAGGCCTCGAGGAAGGCCCAGGACATGTTGGTGGAACTTCGTCTCTGAGCTGACCTGGTGTCGCTTTGGGTTCCCCCAGAGTAGCCTGACGAAGTGTGCCTGGATCGGGAAGTCTGTGCATCTTTGCTTAGACTGCTGCCTCCACGACCTGGCTCCAGATAAGCGGAAGAAGATGGATGGATGGAAAATAACAACAGTAGTTTTTTTTTTGTTTTTTTTAGGCATTCCACTAAGAAATAAAAAACGATTCAGATAAATCATAAAAATATGCCAACCTTTCCCACAATGAGTACATATAAAGTTCGACTGACCTCCTGTGTGACCCGTTCCTCTCTCGTCTAATCTGCTCCGACACTGCCTGTGACCCTTGACCTCCTGGAGCCCAGACCTGTCAGCCAAACAGACTCTCATTAAGAGGAAACACACTCTAACACCAACTTCTACAAAAATTAATTCATGTTTCTTATGCAGTTTCTGCTTCCAGATCACCATTGCTCACTCACATGATTAGCCCTGTTTCACATCCATGATGAAGAAAGTCTTTGGGCAGCTTTCCTGCTAAATGTGTGTGGGTTTTTTTTTTCTCTCTGTATTGCTGAGTTGGTTCCTGCCATGAATGAGTCAGTATGTGTAGTAATATCTCCTCCATCTTGTGATTAAGAAGCAAACATCTTCCCTCCAGGGGGGAGCTTCATCTAGATGGTTGAACAAAATACATTTACTGGCCCTTAGGGTGATCAGTGATTTTAGCAAGTCTGCCACAGTTATATATAAATTTAGTCCTTCCATTGTCTGTCTTATATGTGTTAGACTGGATGGGGAGAAACGTGACGGTTGGTGCTGTTCAGTCTGCACACACCAGAATGGGAGCGTTTATTTCTGGCTACAGCAGGATAAACAAAAGATGAAGGCTGGATTTGTTTAGCTTGGATGTGGAACAAGAGCATCGCCTTATCGGGCCGTCATAACATCAGACTGCAGACTCTGCCTTGGCCCACATAGAACTCTAATTGTTTCCTTTTTTTAATTTCTAGGCTCTGAAACCGTCATTTTCTGTGTCTTGATGATGTTTTATGACTTCCCATTTTTAATGGTTGCCTCATGGTCTGCAGATCTGGCCTTTTTTGACTGTTTTGTGTTACTTGTTTTATTATTTTGTTATTAATCTGTGGTAATTGTACTGTAGATAACTTTTATCACTAATATAAGGATATTCAGTTAGTTTGGGGATTTTCAGATACTCCTGTATTGTCAGATACTCGAAGTATCGAAGTACAGATGAAAAATCTGCATAAATTGCATGACGATGCCATTAAGATGCCGTTATGCTGTAGATGTTTAATTAGTTTCTGACTGTAAAGCAGCCCAAACTATTAGTAGATGCACATTTTGCCGGTAAGTGTCTGGTAGGGGTGAGTTTCTAAAGCTTTGGGGGGGAACAGAAACACCCCATGATGTTCTTATCTGCATGTAAAAACACAGCAGTCTGATGTGTTTGGACTGCAGGCTGTAACTTATCCCAGAGAGATGTAATGTGTCTGTTGGTGAAAAGGTTAACATGTGACTGAGTGTAAAGATAAAAAATGTTCCTACTTGTACCAGCAGTAATAACAATAACAATCATAGAAATACATAGTTTTTGCAGAGCAGACCTTGTTTATGAACAATATTAAGGAATCATATTTTTGCTAAACACTATTGATCAAAAACTTTAACTATTTCTCATTGCCCATCCCACTTAGGGCTGTGCAATATGGCTGAAAATAAATCACATTTAAAGCCTTTTATATCAGTTGATATCAAAAATATTGAAATGAGGATCAGGGGAAAAAACGACATTTACATTTGTCCTCTAACCCTTTTTAAACACAACCTTTAATGCTCAAAAATGGTCAGCCCTATGGTCAACCTTGTTGTTGAATGGTGGCCTGGTGGTTGGAGCAGTGCGCTTGTGCTCTGAGACGGTTTCAAGTACCCGGTTCGATCCCCACAGAGTCCCTGAGCAGAACCCTTAACCCCACACTGCTCCTCAGGCGCCGCACAATGGAAGCCCACTGCTCCCTAAAGGGAAGGGTCAAATGCAGAGGTGAATTTTCTGCAGTGTGAGATCACTAAAGTTGAATAAAATAATTTTTTATGATTATTATTTTTTATCCTTGGTTGGTCTGGCTGTGAGAGGTTGAGAGGCTAAATCTTTTCCTGTGCCTACATCCTCCAGAATGCCATGTGGTTCTGGATTGGAGTTTAGTAGAATTGTTAAAAAATGATATTGTAATTGATCAGTTTTTAGATATCATCGATATACACTGATATTGAGTTATTATCACCCAGACCTAATTCCATTCTTTATGACTACAGTATTTTCAGTCCCCATAATATACATCAAGCTTGGGTAGAAGAGATGAAACGATACAGTTTATTTTTATTGACCAATGCTGTTTATTCTGACATCAGTCTAACCGATCCTCTATATGTACTGCCGATTTTTGGTTGGGGAAGATTATTCAAGCCAATATCGCCTTTTCTTCCTTCAGTTACGTTGCATTCATTACAGATGTTACACAAAAGTGAACTTAAATCTAACAAAATATCCCATATACCAAAGGGAGCAACATTGATGCATTGGCTGAAGCCAGCACAAGAAAAAAAATACAAATATCTACCAAGAATACCTGCAAACAAATGTGTGAATCTTTCCCTGCTAGGTGGTTATTAGAGCAGAAGGTCGTCCAACTGCTAAATATATAACAGACTATAAAATTCAGCCTATATGTTATGTTATTCTTTTCTTTAGGAGCTATGGTTTTATTTACGGGAATGTGAATGAAACTGTGATCATGGTTTCAATGTCAAATAAATCTGTGCTCCTATGTTTTGGTGAAATCGCTCTTCTATATATATAGGAAACATTTTGTCTTTAAGGATCCGGATTATCCGCCTGCCTGGATTCTGGGTTCATCACAGGAACTGACACACAATGGTGAAGAAGTTGAGAGGAAGTGTATTAAGTTTCTGATATATTGGCCATCTTGGACATAGTTTATTGTTGTTTGGGGGGAATTAGGGATGTTGATCTTGTTCTGAATCTGTCTGGCTGTTGGTTCAAAGCAGTTTGCATCTCTTTCTAATGTTTTCTGTTTCTCACTCATCTCTTGGATAAACCAGAGATTTAAACAATCAGATCAAAAGATTAACTTCACATGCTGACTGTTTGCTCATTAAAATACCTAATACATAATGTGTTAAGGTTTTCTCTAAGCCCAGTGTGCCGTTATTAATGATGCCTCCCTCTTTATCTACCTGTGCCCTCAGGATGACCGGCCGGGAGTTTTTCACCCGTTTTCCAGCTCTCTATCCGTTCCTCCTCACCCAGCTGGAGGAGGCTGCTGCCACTGTGCAAAGGTGAGCTGACTCATGCTCCTTCACTTCTGGGTTTGTCCTCCAAAAAGGCTTGTTGAGCTAAAATTGAAGGTCCTTTAATGTTTCATTAACTCTGATGTAAAGTTTTTTTTTTTTTCCTTGGGAGGAAAAATAACTAAACTATTTATTTTCTGCAAATTAAATTCCATCGCTGTGTATTTTGTTCTCATGTGCCTTACAGCTTCTTCCTTATCACTTCCTCACTTTGACTGATTATTTGGTCAAAGCACTGAGCTTTACAGCCCAATAAAGTAAATGTCTTGCTTGGGTTTAGTTCTGTTTTTTTGCAGTGGAGGGTTGAGTCCACTGAGGTTCATTGGCCTTATCTCCATCAGCTCCCCCTCTTTTAAAAGCACCAGAGTGGTCCAGCAGCTCCCCGGGCCGCCTTATCTTAATATGGATCCAATTAATTGAAAGCTCTCTCAGACCGGCTCTTTCACAATTCCCCTCTCACTCCCTTCGACCCTTGTTAAAACATCTGCAAATTTCCCACGGAACCGGACCCCGGCTGTCTGACTTCCCTCTTCGCTTTCAGTGCGTCGCACCACCCAACAGGACCGACCGCACCGTGCTATAGGAATACACAGCAGGACAGGAGGCGGCAGAGCAGCTGTTTGTGGTTTCCAACTGAACTTACAGAACGAGACGCTTCCAAAATAGAAGAGAGCCTTTCTAAGGTCGTGTTTTCCTGCGGACATATGCATGTTTTGTTTTGTAAATCAGCCCAAACAAAGATCCAGAAAAAATATAGTTCATCATGATGAAGCAAACAGTAGAAAACAAACAACAAAGAATTTGCTGAGAAAACACACAGTTAACCAAAAAAAAAAAGAAAACAAACCTTCTCTGTGCTGTTTTTAAATATCTGCATAAGGTTCAGTCAGTGCATGAAGCTCACACACATGTCCTCACATTTAGTGCAATGCAGATGAACCAAATTGCATCCCAGTCCATTACTGCAACCTATCAACAATGTGAATAGTTTTAGTTGTTTTGCTTTTTTTAATTATTATTTTTGCTCTTAATTCTAAGACCTTAGGGTTGCATGAATATCAAAGTTTACCATAGACTTCAGTTTAAAATAATGGTACAATAAACAAAAAAAAAAAACTTTATTCATCAGCTAAAAACAAATTTTTTTGTGTTTTTATTGTATGTTTTTTTAACTTCAAACAGTGGCTAGGACATTTTCCTGGATTATATTCTATCGATAGACCGACTTGCATAGATAATGCTACACTAGGGCAAAGGTAAGAGTAGGAATTTCTTACGTAACTTTGGCTTTTTTTGGACTTGCTTTGTTTTGGACCTAAACCTTAGCTCAGTTTTGTTTTGTAAGAGCAATATTAACATACTAGTAAAGACGCATAAGCTGAGTAATTAAGCTACGTGTTATGAAATGTTAACAGACCTTTAGGTTAGTTAACCTTTTTTTTTTTTACAATATCACTACTCATTTAAAGTAAAAATAAATCAAGGTTTGAAACAAGGCAGGAGATTTTTGGTACATAGTCGTCTACCTTTCCAATATTGTTCCACTTCGTATTAATGGGTGATGTCCTGAAATTAAATTAAATAGCTTAATTGTTTGTAGACATTCATCCAGTGAATACATGTTTTATTTGATGCATTGGGGAGTGTTGGCCTAGTGGTTACAGCAGTGTGTTTGTGTTCTGAGAAGGTTGCAAGGATGCGGTCTGAACTCTGGGTTCCTGGGCAAAACCCTTAACCTCACACTGCTACCCGGGCGCCACACAATGGCAGCCCACTGCTCCCTAAGGGGATGGGTTAAATGCAGAGGTAAAGTTCTCCAATGTGAGAACAATAAAGTTCAATTATTATTATTTTTGGAGGTTTTATTTTCCCTAATGGGCTAAAAACCCAGAACCAAACAAAAACCCCAGTTTCCTATAGATTAGTTATGAAACTCCTGTTTAGTCCTTTCTAAAAGAAACTTTTCTTAGTTGT